GAATCTGTTGTAAGTTGCGTCCCACGTTGTAAGTGAAGCTGGTGTCAAAGTCATGAACCATCTCTTTGCTACATCCTTCAATGTGTACGGAAAGCAACGCATTCACAACTGGTTCTCTGTCAAACTCTGCAAAGGAAAAGCTTGAACAATAGAATAAAAATCACGAATAAAGGTAAGTGGATCCTCTGTGGCTAGGCCATGGAATGACGGTAGCAGCTGAAAGTGAATGTTCTTGAGTTCGTAATGCCTTGCTGCCTCATTCAGCACTATGCAAGATGGCGACGTTCCTATGGTAAGGCGTGCATACTCCTTCATAGGACGAGGTAATACAACCATTATCTCTAGTTCTGAACTTGAATCTGACGAATCTGAATCTGGTGAATTTTCAGGAAATTCTGGTTCCTTTCTCTTTCAAACAATCAAATCAACTTTATCCACGTAAGGTACTAATATTTTATCTAGTTATCGGCGACCTTGCATTCAAATACAAACACACCAACAAAAACAAAAACAAAAGGAAAAAAAATAACCCAAATAAAAATAATACAAATTAAATTAAATAACAATAATTAAAGCATGGTTATCAAGAAAACTAAATAACTTAAAACAAATCCCCGGCAACGGCGCCAAAAACTTGATGAATAAATTATAATTCCTTGCAAGTGCATGAATCACTATCGCAGTATAGTGTGCAAAAGCAAGGGTCGATCCCACAGAAATTTGTAAGCAATTTACTAATCCTAATAATGAAGCTTCAATTTAAACTAATAACTAGAATTGATAATCGCAATTCAAGGGAAATCACTTCAAAAGCAACAACTAATTAAACTAAAGTTAAATGACAATAAAGTTATCTTAAATCCAATCGACCAAAACCTAGTGTTCCAATTTCACCATAATTATCCAGCTCTATGTCAACCAAATATCTATTATTTATCAATTCACTTTCTAGGGTTCGCACTCACCAAATCAAGGTATTACTGTAAGGCTTTCGGGATTAACCGAGTACTTTTAACATAAGACTAGCTAGGGCTTATAGTCTAGCCTATGAATTAAAAACCCATTAAACGTAGGAGTACTTGAAATCCTGAACAAAGGCATATTTGTCATGGCATGTGCACAAACACTAATTACCCAAGAAATCATGAACCTACTAATACTCTATCAGGGCGTATGCATAGAATATTAATCATTCATTCAATAATCTTCACACATACAACCTAATAATTTTCACTAAGTGTCGTCACACAGTAATGAAAATTAAAGCAGTAATGAATACATGAATGAATCTAGAGTTTCATTGAATTAATAACAATAAATATATGATTACACATAAAGCCATCAAATTAGGCTACATTGAATCCCTAGAGAAGAGTTTAGTTACACATTGACATTGAAAAGAGCAAACCTAAAATTCCCCAAAAGCATGAATGATCTTCAAAACCCTAGGAAAAATCTCCTCTCTTTTTGCTAAGAAAATAACTCTCCTTTAGACCCCCAGCCAACCCTAAACTAAATTACAAAGTCCCATTTATACTTTTCCTCTGCTAGGAGTGTTTTTGGAAGAGTCCAAGTTCAAGTCGGAGTTAAAAAAGAAAATAAGGATTTATTTTTCTCACGATCCACGCCGCGGCGCAGAATTTTTCCACAAACATGCAGCCTTGTCACGCCGTTGTGCCACTTTCTTCATGCCGTGACATGAACTTTCCGCCCAACTTCAGCTTCTTATGCCGCGGCGCGAAAAGTCCTTGCCGCAGCGCCATCTAGCAAATTCACTTCCTTTCTTTTGTTTGATGATCCGTTTTTTTTCTTTAGCACGTACAAAGCCTCCAACCATCGTGTGAGCATAAATTCCTCACTTTTTCTACCTAAAAACCTGAAACCCATACACATACCTATGATTCTTGCAAATAAAAATATGGAAAGAACTTGAATAAAAATAATCCATTAAAGTCACGAATTCCCTACAATCCACCCATAAAATCACAGAATATATATATCATTTCACCACTTATCAAGCCTCCAATCAGCTCGGGTGTTTTTTTTGCTTGCCTCTTTTGGAGGCTCAAAGACGTTCTTCCCGCCAACTGCCTTTAAGGTAATCGCGGGCTTTTTCGCCCCAAGCTCGTCGTTGCTGCATTTCACGTCAACGATGTCAATGGGTTGTTTCGTCACCAAAGTAGCCAATGTTTTCTTGGTAGCTGTCGAAGCTGCCATCTTCTTTTTTAGGCCTTTCAGCTTCTTGGCCCACATGTAACAAACAGTGAGTGACTTATCCGCGCGGGAAAAAAATGGGAGTAAACGATAACTTAACCTTTCTCCAAAATCGTAAGAAATCTGGCATCGTCCCGACAGAAACCATATGCTCACAGGTGAGGGAGCGTAATGATCTTGTTAATGTTATGCTGTCCGTCGGGAGGGTCACTGAAACGTTGGAGCCTCTGCAAGCTTGAGGTAGGGAGATAGTTTTGTTCGACGTTAACTACAAAACAGAGCAACTCAGTTAGCTAGAACACAAAGCTCGAAAGCGATCCTCACACGCACAGAAAGTCGAAGTCTTACTCGCTTCTGAAGTGAAAACCTTGGGCTTAATAGAAGAAAAATTGTGGGTCCTAGTGTGGGACCTTCTTTAGGACATCAACTAGCTCGTTGAAACGTACCTTCCTTGCCTTGGAAAGGTAGTACGTTTGGTCTTCCTATACAAATGGATGAGCTCCTCGACGGATGGCTCGCTCAATTCAGCGATCATATACGCTATTACAGAGCGATGATAATTACATACAAATTTGCGGACAGCTGAAGAGGAACGATGTTGAACTACTTCAGCACGTTGTCAAGAAAACAATGAAGGGGAGTGGATACCCCGTATCTTAGGAGGGTCTTAGAGATCACCACCCATTCGAGCAAGGTATTCTTTCGAGAAAAGTCCCCCGGAACCATCAAATTAAACTACGATGCATAGACCGCTCTTATGCGCTCCAAATCCCTGACGGCAATCGATGATTGTGGCTCTTTGCAGCCTATGAACTAGAGACTGCCTGGATTGAGCCAAATGTATCGAGGCACGGTTGGAAGAGCATGTCGCGTCGGGGTTCGAGCTTCACGCGATGATTTCTTTGGAGACCTCGAGAGTTGAATCCCTCAAAACTGCCGAGCCCGTAGGCGAATCGAACATGCGATCGATTGTGTGACTGCTGGAAGAAGACATGGTTATAGCTCACTTCTGAGTACCTGAAACAAAAGCGAACATGTGTTAAAGCTCGAAAAACTCAGCGATCATTTCACCCTTGCTTTCAGTTCAGGCACCCAAGAGAGCTCGTGCCTTATGATGAATGCACGCGATCTACTAGGGGTTCCGACGGCCACCGCGTTAAGCCCTCCTTAAACCCAGGACCACCAGAGATGCATTCAAACACCTTACTAAAGCCCTAGAACATTCAATGTGGCCACAACAGTAGCCATCATTTGACACAAAAGTTGGAAAAACTGATAAAGAAAGGGAAAAGAACCTTACCAAAATAAAAGAAGTACAGAAACTCGTCGAAAAGAGCACTGTGACGATGACAAAGCAGCAGCGAAGTGAACAAAGGTATTAGAAAACTTTCATGGACTGAATAAGCATTTTGACAGCTTCGCCACCTTTTATAATGGTTTGCATGAAACACGAAAGGGCAGGGTTTAATCGCAACCGTCGATCTACAGTGAATCTCAACCCTTCATTCGTCGAGCAATCTAGGCTTTTAGACGTGGCCACGTGTCATCCATCTGCGAGGGGCAACGAATTGTCAGACTGTTGCACTGATAACCGACGTCGCACGTCACCTTGGCTCACGCATGGACAGCTGTAGACGCCCACGCACGATGAAGCGTAACTGACAAAGGCTACCGTATTTAATGCGACATGACCACATGAAAATTTTATATTTGCTCTAACTTTTTATATTCTAAGTTCGACAAGTATCGCAAGAAGTAAACAAGCGTGAAGCAAGTCGACTGGACATGGGGTTGACCCTAGGAGCTCGGTTGAACTTGCATCCAGAGACCTGTTGTTAATGGCAAGCTTGGTGTCAAATCGAGCAATAGTCTTTGAAGCTCGAAACGAGCATCGAAAAATAAAGGGCAGATGTTGTGTGTGATTTTTCCACCAAGCTCGAGCTACTACGAGGATGTAGCTCGACCTAAGATCAGTCCGACTCACCGGTTGTTCGACCCAGCATAAGCTCACCAACATATAGCTCGACCCAACACTAGCCAGTCATGAACAACCTGAATGATCATTCAATTAATTCCTAGATAACTTCAGATCCCAGATATCGCGGGAATGACCAAATCAACAACAATCTCTACGCAATCACAGTGCCCAATCGCGAGAATATCGGAATTGTAGTTCAGATCAATTGTAATCCGTTTATTTTCACTATTTCCTTTGTACAAACCTTGTATATAAACCCCCTCAAATGATGGAAAAGGGGTTACAAAATTTTCACAGAATTCTCATTGTAAGCTCTTACATCAAATACAAAAAGCAGTGGATGTAGGCTTAAGAGTTTACCTTGCCGAACCACTTTAAAAATTGTCATTGCCATTTACTTTATTGCATTCAATACTTGTCAATCGCTGATTATCCATAATCACACGCACATCCATTCTGATCCTGTCAAGATCGATCAAAATTTTCTGGTTGGTGCAGATTTCTATATCAACAAATATTATTACTTAATATCTTGTATTAGAATACATATTTCATTAGTGTATGATACTAAAAAGAGGATAAATGTCACTTATTAAAAAGATTAAGGTCTAAATTGTCACTTTTCAGAATGCGTGGATGAATCAGTGCTTTAGACGAACTTGAAAGGGAAAGTTAAGCCTGAAAACATACGACTGGGCCGTGAAACACTCTCTTTAACCGCGCGTGGAAACAAGTACACAGCACCAATGGCTTAGACGACCAGAGTAAAAACACAAGGGCAACATGGGAAAATGATACGAAATCTGTATCGAGTACAAATTCATGAGTGAGAGGTTCTGTCAGCGAACCGTTTGTGATTCTCTGTCTAATTTTACGGCGTCGTTTCTCCTCTTCTAAAAGTCTAATCCCTCCCTCTACCTCCAGTCTTGTTGAGTCAGCAAAGCTTGAGAGAAAAGAGAAAGAATGTCTAAGAAGAAAACTTTATCAACTATGTCCTTGAAGGACTTTCACGGCGGTTCCATTCCCTCTGATCTTCCTTTGCCATCTGCACCTGGACTGTATGTTCACGTTGTTTATACGATTAACTAGCTTTCTCTCTTTGCATGCGATTTTCTTTTTCCTGTTGATCATGGATTTGAAGTCGATAGTGTTTTTGTTATTATTATTAGTATTTAATGATTTAGATGTTTAACACACTTGCCTTTTAGTTCATAGGTTTTGTGCGTGATCGCTGTTCTATTTTATTCATCGAATTACAAATCATTAAATTCACTTTGTCACTATATTTCAATCTTATAATATTTCTGATTATTTATGTTCTATGCTCAGATTATTTGACCTTGATTTTTTCTTTAAAAAAAAAAAAAAAGCTTAAATTGGTTCTAAGTGGTTTACTTGCTTGGTTGGTTGATTCAGTGTGGTGAGCTCTGGTTCAGAGCGTAACATGTCAACAAATTGGGGAAACAATCTGGTGAAATCTGATCTTCGTCCAAGACCCAAATCATCTGGTACAGCCCGTAATTTTGGTGAGAAAGCATCATTTCTGTCTCACCCTGCACCCATCGGTCAAAACTTCGATGAGGATGAACGCAAGCCCATGAATAGTGCAGTGGCTCCAAATCGTGCAATTAGAGATGATAGTGTTCGCAATATGCCCTCGATTCAATATGAAATGAAGCTAGACTATGTGTCATCTGTGAGGACATCTGATAGATCAGTCTCATCTCCGAGTTCAGTTACTAATTCATCTCCACTGAGAGTGGGAGGAGGGAATCATTTCACAGTAAATTCACCGACTCCAATTAGCAATAGTGGTCAGGGTATTAATAATTTGAACTTTCCAAGTACTAATAATGATCTAGGAGTTAACAATTCTCAACCAAATGCTTGGGGTGTGAGAAAGGATCTCATGGCTGTTGAAGAAATAGTGAAGCCATCTGTACTGAATGGACCTGATGCTTTATCAAAAATTGCTCAAGCCAGTGCACTTGAGAAAGTTTCTTCTGGAATGTGGCAGTCTAAGAAACCTGGCCAACTTCTGCCACATTTACTTAATTCAAGCGACAATAACAATAATGTGTCTGGTGTTGTGGATGTAATTAGTGAGAGGGCCAAGAATGGTACTTCACAGGGAAGTCAAGTTGTGGCAGGTCAGATAGTTGAAGATGGAACTAAGGGTGGGTTAAGGGAATTGCCCAAAACTTATATACAAGAGGTTCGGACTGGAGCTACTAGTGGGGAGTCTTTGTTGTCAGCAGCTCCACCCCTAGAAAAATCAGATAGGCCTAAGTTAAAGCTACTTCCAAGATCTGGACCTCTGGATGCATCAGCATACAATTATAGACAGGTAGAATGCTTTTCCTTGGTGGGTTTGGGGATTATGTTTTGAACTTATACTTTTTTTCTGAAATTGTAATGAAACTAGTGATATTCATTTGTCATATTTCAGGGTTATCAGCAGCCAGCACTCACCAGCAAGGTTGAATCTTTCAATGAACCGTACAGAAATTCAGATTCTCCAAAACCCGGTTCGACTGTTGCTGATGGGGGAAGTCTAATGATTGAGAGACCCAAATTGAATTTGAAGCCTCGTTCACAGCCTCTTGACCAATCTGATGAAAGATTTGAAAAAGAAAGGTTAGTGAATTTTGTAACTTGATCTTGATTTTCTTTCTTATTATCTGTGTCTCTGGAAACAAATTGCAACAAGGAGTCAATGCTTAGATTTGAAGTAGACAGCTTTGTTCAAATAATTAGTGCTTAAATTAACTGTTGAACTTCCTGTAAAAGCAAGAGTGATGAAACAAGCAGGAGTTTAGTAGCTGGACTATGTTGGAGATTGAGAATACTGTGTTCTTTGAGTATACAGAACTTATTAGTCTATTGGAGAACATTGCTTGATTTAGGACAGGTTGCTTCCATGCATACTATTTGGATAATAGTGATGGGATATTGTATTATTTATATGAAATTTTATGGCAATAAATGTGCCTTGTAGAGTTTTTAAAGATTGCAAATTGTGAGAATTCATTGATATTTTTATTTAAAGGTTGTTGTTGGAGATTTCATTAAGACTTTGCTCAAGTGAAATTGGAAGGGTTTGTATTTTGCTTGAGTGGCATATATTGGATGTTACTGTTTTTGTATCTCTTCTTAGCTGAGAAAAATGCCAGCGCTAATGCCTTCTGTTACTGTTGCAGGCAAATAGTATTCGGTGGTGCTCGTCCACGGGAATTGGTATGTTTGTATAATGATTAATTTGTTGGTCTTGTTGTGGGTTCATGTGGTATCTTTTTTCTGCCAATTTGGCTATTTTGTGCTAATTGATCTTGTTATTAGTTATCTGTCAAATTGTATAGTGTGTTTTAGATCAGACTTGGTTTAGGAAGTGAGTGATTCATTTTATGTTCCGGAAAGGCACTTATATCTTATTCAGATTGATAATGTTGTATGGCCTTCCTCAGGTTCTCAAGGAGCGAGGCATAGATGAGACTGCTAGTGGTAACCTTGACCTGGGTCCTGCGCTTAACCGGTATATTCTCCATTTTGTTTGCATTACACCTTATATCCTTATGTATTTCACGTTGCATGTGACATTATTCAATTTGCCATGGTTACCATCCCCAATATCCAATGGTATTGGTTCAGTTCTATAATTTCATAAGAGCATGCTCCAGATGAGTTTCACCATCAACAAGATAGTGCTTGCCATTTCATATGGTTCCTTTATTTCTTATCATAATTTGATTGTCAAACTCAAGGATCATGTATGCACTTCAGTCGAGAAATCTATTGGCTTTCATTTGGACCATTCATATGTCTGTAGATATTATGTTTTATGAGAATAGCAGTTCTAATGTGTTGGCTGCTAAATATGATGTTCAATTTTTGTACATGAAGAGTTGACTCTCTGAGGAATGAAGCAACATCAGAGAGATTGATTTCCTCCACTCAACGCAATCCAAATACTGAGAATCATGTTCATGAAAAGAGGACAGAGAGGAATTTGGATAGGAAAGAACAACAGACAGGACGAGAGAAAAATGATAATCAAGGAAGGAACCGAAGAATTGAGAGCAGGTGGGGTAGTAGGGACACTGATCAGCAGCAACGAGATCTAAAACCTGTACCTGAGACTTGGCGGAAGACTGTTGAAGAACCAAAACTGTCTTCAGATGATGCTTCAGGAATCAACCATGGGAAAGTAGTTTCTGCATTGGATCTTGCCCAAGCATTCTCAAAGTCAGTCTCTGATCCCAAAACACATGAAGGACATTCTACTCAAAGAGGGCTACCTGGGCATAATAACCAGACACCCTTTTCACGCCTGACAGATACCCGAGAACTTAAGTCAGCTCCGACGGCAAGGCATCACATAAGTGGTTATTGATTTGAAAATGTGGTCATGGATGATTGTGTGTTTTGATTTATGCTTGTCAGTGGAGATTCAAGCATCAGTAGGGCTCATAAATAAAAGCATCCTTTAGCAGGATCAAGTCTCCCCAGCAGTGCCTCAGAACTGTACAATAGTAAATTCATTAATTATTATGAATAGTATTATGACTCGGATGAAGTGCTTTGTGTAAGAGATGGCTTAATGTTCGTTTTTATGTATCTCAAATTTTCTATTCTTTTATCTTTCTGTCTCCACCACCCAAGCATATTATTATACTTCTATCCGTGTACCTGAAAATTTTGACAAATATAATACCATTTGAAAGTTTCGGTTGAATATTTGGAGCCGGGCAGAAGAAGAATTTGTTCTATACTAATGGTAGTGAGAAGGGGATTGTGATTACATTACCGTGATATGGCCCCAAAACCAAGGCCACCCTCCAAGGGTATGTATGTCTAATCTTCCCTGAGTTCCCTCATCTTCGCTCGCTTTGCCCAACTTATTTACCGGATAAAATAGAAAAAAAATGCCTTGAAACAGCTTTTACGAACAGATTTAAGTAACAGACGATTGAAAAATAAAGTTTCTTATAAAATGAAGGATCATGAACCACCATTAGGTGGCTTGATGATAAAAGAGTGAAAAGAATTTAATAAGCTCTTGAATAGGAGTCCTCCGAGACACTAATAGGGGTAGTCATTGAAATTCTTACCTGATCGATACTTTCAAGATTCGGAGAGAATAATTAAGGTACGCGCAAATTGACTTGATGATAAAAAAAAAAAAAAAAAATGAAGAATCATGATGCCATTTATGATATCATGTAATGACCTGGCATTTGATGAAACCTTATTGGATATATATATAGATTAAGAATTACAACTTCATATCCGGTATTCAAACTCAATTTCAAATTTTGATTATGCATTTTTATGTAATAAGTGATACCTATGTTAATATATTTTTCATCCCTAAATTTATTTACCAAGTCAGGGATGACCATATAGGTAATGAAGTCATAATGAAAGGGTATGGATTCTGTCGCAGAGAGGAATAAGAGGAAAATAAAGATTGGGACAAAACTGTATTTGGTTTTATTTCTCTGGTATATATACATCATTATCAACTGCAGAACAAAGCCATAGTGACACAAAGATAGAAAATTCTACATAATATATGCAAGAATTGGATCATGTACTGTCACAAGATTCAGAACATAAACGGCGTCGGCGAGAACGCTGGTAATATCATCGGCATAGAGCTTTTCCTGAAAACAACCAAAAAAATAATTAAATTACTCTATTATAACATCACACTGAAAGAGTCGGAGACTAATCTAGTAAAATCTTGAACACTGAAATAATACCTGGAGTCATACTCATACGCATCTTTACTCCTGAAACAGCGAGTCTTAGCAGCTGATTTACTTTTACTGGACAATTTCTTTTCAGACTGAGCCTTTCTCTCATCAGTCTCAAACACTGTAACAACCCCGTCTTCTGATATCACCGAGAGCGCCGGTCTCCAATGAGGCGCGGAAGACCTAGATGTCGCTTTCTTAATTCGCTTTGAATTATATGGCCCATGAAGATGAGCATCACCAGCCCCTCCTAACGCCATCCGGGTGGTGGTGGTGGCTGATGCATCCGCTGGTGGTAGCCCGGAGGGGCGATAACACGAACCCAAATTAGAAAAGAAGAACTTCATTGCAATAAGTCAACAAAACGCAAAGCTTTTGTGTGAATATTTGGTAGTTTACGTGCGTATTGTTGAAGAAGTTGAGGTTTGCGTGATTGTGTATTAATACAGTAGGAGTGGGGATTCTGGGTTGTCATTATCTTATCTGTAATTTGTTGGAAAAAGGAAAGTATTGAATTTTAAGGATTTTTAATAATTAACAAAAAAATCATTAATTAATTTGATAAATCCAAGAGTCTTTCCTTCAAGCATTGGTGCATACGTGTTTCTACTTCCTATTTAGCATTGGTCAAGATTTTTACATAAGACTGTGTCTGTGAGTAAAGATTTGGCTCTAATTGGTAAACAACTCTGCAATCTCAATTCTAGTCCTTGTATGTATCAAGTAATTATTTTTAGTAGAAAATACCGAATGTCATATATGACCTACGAATTAAACAACCGTGCGTGGCCATAGATTTGCATCAAATCGCAGTTAATGTAACTGACGCGGGTGTTAGGTGTCATGTCTATTTTATATGTCAAATGGCCATGTGTGACCAACTGTCTTGTATAATACAACTATGTTTCATTCAAGAATTAAGGTTGACCTCACTCAGAATTTCATTAACTTAATTGTAGGAGCGGGTAGAGTGATGTGGAGGTAGATAAACTAATTAATATAGATAAGAATTGGGTATGTGAGAGTTATATTACTATTATCAGGGTAATTAAATTAATTTCTTCCATATAAATAAACTACGGGGGGAGTGGTTAGTTGGTACTCATATTTTCTTGGCAATTGGGTTGACTTTAACGCATAAATAAGTATCAATTATAATACAACGTTGAAAAACTAACAAAATTGACCGGTTAATATTCCGGCAATATAGTATGTTATGAATTACATAAACATAATTCAATGGGAAAGATATGGCGTGTGATTCATTTCAAGTTTGTGCATTGGAATTTGGATCTGAAGCTTCTTCTGTGGTTGTCTTAGGCAAGATGTCCACCTCACCTAAAGTGAAGTTGCAGTGGAGGATATATCATTTCTTGCATATATATATATATATATATAGGGAAATGATATATATATTCCCATCTTAATTATGACATTTCAATCTTATCTTCAATGTGTAAAGCATATATTTTGAGAGGGACTCTATCTTTAACTTTATACCAAATTATCAACATTATGTAACTCTTAATTTTTTATAAATATTCCTTTTGACATCTTTGTGCAATGAAATGAACCTGCCCATTATCTCACGTGAAATGTACACATTAAATTCGTGAATTGCATACTCCAGGATTCCAGTATTTGTTCTTAAGAAAAAACACAACCCGGCCCACAATAATTATGGCAAGCACTTGTATTTGTATCAACTCTATTAGTTGGATCCATCGTTGGGGCCCTTCTATTTGAATGAATCAAGATAAATATTTGTACATTACAAATACTGCTGATGTACAATGGATATATACAGTATACAGTAAGAGAGAAATACCAATGCATCTCCACCTCATAAAGTTGCTAGCTACTGTGTACTGACACATTTATTTAATTTTCTATTTTCTTCATCGCATAGATGTGGCTTCTTCCCACTTATCAGAGGAAATCTCATCACTAACAAATCATAATACAGTCTCCACCATATCTTTCTTCTGACAAGTCGGTGGATGAAGGTGGCCTTCTGATCCCAACGTTAGTATGTTTTTTGAACATGCCAGAGAAGATGGGAATTAATGAGACAATCCCTCTTCCAGTGGTCCCAACTCTAATGACTAACTCTTGATTGGTATCATCCTCAGGTAAATTTGATTTGCTGAACTAAATGTTACGAATGCTAGGTCTTATGTCAGTCTAGAAATGTTGTTTTTGGGTGGACATGGAAAGCCACTAGCGTTCATGGGAATTAACTAGGATTATTCTTCATTTAGAATAATAATATCGATTTTGCTTTTGTTTAGTTTATCTTATCCACTTCAAAAAGCAAAGTTGCAAAAGAGAAACAGGGTCAAAGTTTCTTAGAAGATCCTTAAACAACTGAATAAATTATTATATTCTTCCGATTTATTCAACTGATTAAACATATCTGTAATAGACTTTATTATCGTTATATAATTACAAAAACAAGAATTACTAAGGCATGTTACAAGTAAATGAGGAATTCAATAATCATGTGATTAAGAGTTTAATGAACTTCCAGCCTTTCCTGTGGGCTCTGGCTAGAAAGTAACTGAGAAGCATTTTTTATGTAATTGGAACGGGCCAGTATTGGGCCTCAGGTACCAGGCCCATATAACCCCTTTGTTCTATCCCCGATTATGACCAAGCAAATTTTAATAAAATTCCAGAAAGAGCTCAAATTTATAAAAGCTGAAGCCATATACTTTCTGTAGCATCTGATTTTTCTTTTCCAGATAATTTCCAGTTCAATCAAAGCCACCTAAGATCAATTTATTATAATTTGTTTATGGTATGTCAATTCTGATAATTATGAAGTTTCCTCGAACTACTGAATGTTGGACTCTAGCCTTTGTTTTATTTAAGTATAGACCACATGGTACTTCACAGCAGATAATCGAGGATGAGAAAAACAGAAAAAAAAGGAGGAGATTTTCCGGCTACAAAAATGATTGGAACAAGTCCCCAAGATATTATTGTAAAAGTCATGTATAAGACGAATTATATATGATTAGTATGAAAGGAGAGCATGATTAAGTACAGTCATTTGTCTCTCTCCATTAATATTTCATCAACGACAAAGGGATTGAGAGTTTTGGGTGAAAATCACAATGCTAATTACGATTTCTTCTTTTAAATTGACTTCAACCTCTTGTAGTTTCACGTGGACCGTCATTGTCCTGCTCAAATATCTAATAACCCAAAATGATGCACAAATTATCCAACCATATATATCTCCTCTAGTTTTGCCACAACAAAACAAAAGAGAATTCAAGGGTTTTGGCTCTTGTTCTTTTCGTACTTCCCATCTGTTTGGAATAGAGCATGCATGAATTAGGGCGTAACATTTTGATTTGCTATCATATTTTATCAAAAGGTCAATACATAACCCTAATCCTTTCACTTGGCTGAATGTTTTGAATCCTCGATAAGGCAATTGTTTACCAGTTTCCAATTTACACTTGAAAGAATCTTATGATTACTGATAAAACTAGAAATTAATCTGTTTAGAGAGTATGAGAAAAGGATATGACCTTTTTCATAAAAGATTTATTTTATTTTCTGTGTTAATAATCAATAGTTCCCAGATTTACCATTGAGCTGAAGCTTGTATTCATTTTATCATTTGCTAAATTATTCTTTAAGATGTACATAACTGCCGATTAGGTGAATTAATAGCTGTATTTGTAATAATCTGAAACCGTATGTACACTACATATCTTGTATGAATCATGGAGACAAGACTTGAGCACGAAAACAGTAAAAAGTAGAAGCTTTCTTTAACGTTTAAAGGAATGTGACATCGAAATCAAAAGATTTCGTTGGATTGTCTTGGTGAAGTGACAGGGACATATCTCCACGAGTAGCAAAATCACAACTCTGCAGGAAACAGCAAATTATTCAACCAGTGGAAATGTTAAAGAGACTCATGAAGCTTCAAATCAAAATTATAGCTGGTCCAAAGTTTTCTGCTTCTACTTTTTCTTCAGGAATCCAGTATAAAGCAAAAAACTAAGTTATAATGTGCAAGTTGTCTCTTACCATTCATGCAGGAATCGTCTCTTACATAGATTCGTTTTGTGAAAGGTCACTGCTAGCGAGAGCTAGTGTTTTCATCTCTTCAGAGTCCTTCTTTGTTTTTGTGCAGAAATATAAAACTTTTATGCATATATTATATTAGCATATCCTGGGTTTGATATATACTGGATAGGATTCTTCATTAATTCCAAATAATAAAAAAATTAATTAAACAAAATTTATCTTTAGTTATGTTGAAAGTAAATCATTCACGAAAACTCAAATACAAGTAAACAACAATAGTTTAGTTTGAATAATTAAGAAGATTTTTGATAGAATGGATCTTATTGGTGAATATTAATGTGATATATATACAAGAGCCGCATCTCGTACATAATTTGGTACTCCAATATCTCTCTCAAGGGTAAGTGTAAGTGTAAGTGTAAGTTCACATAATTCTATTCCTAAAATTGACGAAAAGAATCAAGATTTAAATAGATAATTTTGCTGAAAAATAAATTTTATAATTATGTTTATTTCTTATAATCAATACAAAATTGAGAAGCTTATATATTTATCTTCTTTCTATGATTCACTTACATTTGAAACATGGAGAGGAAGCATATATATACTAGTTTAAATCACCTACAATCCACATAATATTATTAGCGTATTAACCATAACCATAACCATAACCATTCAATTATTACTATTATTTTTTTTAATGAATAATAATTAAATTAATAATAACCATTAAAATAAAACATGTTTAATTATAGTTTTTAAATAAATATAATAGGGGAAATAAGCAATGGTGTTAAAGCAATTAAAAGGAGTGACATTCTAGTGAAATATACAAATTCGTCCTCGTGGGGAAGGGGTCTAATTTGTCTTTAGTTGTGGCATCATATGGCACAAGCAACCAAGTTGATATCATATACATATCATGTATGTGGAAGGATGGGAATGAAAGGTAGCCATCAATCACTAAACTCAATGAACAAATTAGATTAATTAAGGTGAATGATTAGTGAATTTGTCTGATAATGGCATTTCTTGAGCTCAAATTCGACAAAAAAATGGCCGGCTAAGACAGCTTCCTTAACGTACCCGTTACCTTCTGTTCATCACGCTTGCTCACCATAATCACTTATCTAGAACAGGAGTGAGAGAATTAATGGATTAGTAATCAGCCAAAATTGCTTAGAAAAGCTCCATCCATGCCAATCTAAAGACCGGATCTTACAATAGTCAGTCAGTAATGATAGTTTCAGTAGTGGTAAATAACTAGGCATCGGTTGTCACGACCGGGATCTTTCCCTTTGTTAATTACTTAATTAGCTCTATTTTGAGTTAAGTCACACAAATCTTTTTCACCAGAATCTTCATTCACAAAATGACTAGCAAAAAT